AACTCTCTTCATCTTCTTATATCAGTAAAATGATGAATTACGTTTACGGTATAACCTAGCTCTGTCCTTTTCCCAGAAAGAAAGCAGCTGCAAGGAACTCATTTTCTCAGCAAAAAACATTCAGTGGCTGGAAACCTGACATGGTAACTATGTTTTAGAACATTTACAAACAATCTTGATATTTATATTGATTTGGATGCTATAATTGCAGTTGCAAAAAATAATAATCAGAAAAATCACTTCATTTCTCAATTATTCTGCTTTAAAACTGTTTAGTGTAATAGCCATTAAAAATTGTCAGCCACAATGCTCTCCATGATTTATTATTAGTATTTTTTCCCCTCCTCTTTATGTTCTAACATCTCTTAGTCAAAGTCTGACCTATAATGTCTCCTCAGAGAGTAATATTACTGATTTGATTACATTTATATCTGGTGGTTGGATACATTTTAAATGCATGCTGTCAGGAATGTTTCATCATTGCTATTCTTTTCTGGAAAATCAATAAACAAGCAGTATTAGAAATCTAGGTTGTTGGTGATGGGATCACCTGTAGAAAAAAAATTGTTGCAGCACGTGCAGTTCTCCAAATTGTAAAATATCTTTTTTAAAAAATGCTATGTTGGAACTTCATTTCAGAGTAGATATTTAGCATTTAAAATGCACATTTCAGAAGAGACAGTCCAGGATCAATAAATGAAGGAATTTTATTTAGAGAAGAATGAAAACAAGTATCAAGCTAAGTGCTGTAATGTCTAAATTAAATTTCTTTTAGGTGTTTTTTTAAACTGCTTTGGCTCAAATATTCTGTAATGTTTATCTCCTAGGCGTTGTTAGGCAGTAGTTATTAAAAAACTGAACCTATACCATTTTAGAAGGAAAGTTAGTATGTCAACATTGTAGAGAGGCGAGAGAAAGTCACGCAAACAGATAAGAAAGGAATGAGAAGAAACCGTTATGATTCTAGCAACAAAGATAAAGCATACCAGTCAGAAAGTGAGAAATCAAGGCTATACCTTATTTGGAAAGCTAAACTTGAGATTTATAGAATTAGGCATTTGCAAAGTTGTTTATATATGGCTATAAAAAAAGGTGTTGCACCCCTTGCCACATTTAATGCTCAGTGCTCTTGTCTTATGTGCAATATATATATATATATATATATACATTTTAGAACTCTGAACAAAGACATTTGGTATTTGACCTGAGCAATGAACAACATAGGGAAAAAATTGCTAAAAAAATGTATTCTGAACCTAGAACAGAAATCTCCTTTGCTGAATTCACCAAACAACAGATAAGATGACAAATTCCAACTGCCATGTTTCTCTCCACCATTCTGAAGTAGGGTTCAGCAATTCTTTTTTTAGCCTGATTGCACCACTGCATTTTATTTATAATTGTCAGTGAAAACAGTAGAATGAACTTTATAATAAGCATACTGGGTTTAAAAATGAAGATTCTGCCCAGAATCAAGAAAAAAGAAAAAAACTGCTCCATCTATATAATTAATTTGGTCTTGCCTATTTTTCATAATCATCTAGTCCATTTTGGCCCCTATTACCCTTTATTGCCATTCCTCCTCTAGCAAACATTAAGGGCATCCTTAAATACAAATACAAAAATACAAATCAAGCTGAGTGAAGTTTTATTTAGTAACATGCTCTGCAGTTCTATTCTTGTTTATAAGGTTGTGTATTGCATGCTTACTTAATATAGCAATTCTTCATTTGCCTAAAATGTACTATTAGGAAATTATAATTAACTCAGTAATATTGGTCTGATTTATTGTTGCTATCTTGTATCAGGTAATAGCCAACTCAATCCAAATCAAATCAACCAGATACATTTGCAGGGGGTACATGCATTATTGTGCTACTAACACATGACATCCAGATTAATATCACATTCCTATGGCTGTGTTCAGACAACTCATTAAGCCTCAAAAGCCAGACTAATGTAGGCCATCATTATTCTGCTTCTCCCATCATATGAAGTTGTTAAAGTAGGTTTACTATGTTACTGTATCTGAATCCAAAGCAGCCTCTACTTTGGATTTAATGAAAATAAAATTTGTAATCCATGACAACAATATGTTGAATTCAGCAAGTGGCTTAATTTTCTTCTCTCAATAATTTTTATAGTACATTTTAATTTTATTTGTTTATTTATTGAACATAGTTCTACTCTACTACAATCAAAATTACCCTCGACAGCTTACAGTCTACAGTACCAAAATTTAAAACATCCATGGTTAGATTAGTAAAACCATTCCTAAACATAATTACAATAATAATACTTTAAGTGCCAAAATTTTGCTAGCAGATTGTTTTTATACCTTTTATTTTTATGTTTTATTAATGTTTGTTCATTAAATGTATTTATATACATTGTATTTATCAATGTATTATTTTGACCGTCTTTCTATTTTAAATAACTTTAAACTGTTTGGAGAATTGTAGTTATTAATGTAAATTAAATAATTAAAACACAATGTTTCAACCAACTTTTAGCACTAATTCATGACTAACTGGTCAAACTGAAGGCTTAGCTGTATTTTCTACATTATATACATTTTATTACTATCTCTCAAAAGTAGAATAAAATAACTTGCAGTGGTCCATACCCAGAAAGCAAAGACCACATTATTTTGACAAATATCACATTTCAAAATTCTTTAATATGTCCTATTCTTCCATGGCTGGTGAATATAAATTTATTATTAGAGATATTGGAGTAGATTGTGCTTTAATAAATGAAGGCTGCTGACAGCCAGTGCAATTTTATTGAACTTGAGCAATGAAATGGAGGTATCTGTCCAAAATAATAAAAGAGTCTTGGGATAATTTACAGCCTTGGGTTTTTCAGCTGGTTTCAACAGGCTAACTGGCTACTCTTCTGAATGTACAGATAATGATGATCTCTGCCTATGGTTCAGAACGCTTATATTTTGGTGTGATAACTTTGTTCAAACAATTCTGACATCTGTAGTAGATTTGTCCTCTTGGGTATAATAATTTGCCTCCTGCTCCATCAGTTGAATAGCTAATGCAGGAAAGAAACTTGACAGATCTACATTGTGATGACATTGCAATGTACTGAAATGCCACATGATATTCTGTCCTCTCACATCACCACAATAATTCTTAAAATATAGTATAATTAATCTGCAGGCTTCTACATGTTTCTATATGTTGCTGTTCAGTTTACTTTGATGTATACTTAACAGTTAATCTATCTGTTCTACGGCTGATTTTGTGACTAAATAGGTAGGGCATTCACCATAGATGTTTGGACCATCTTAAAATATTACAGAGAGAAGCACAATGTGAAAAAAAACAGTAACATTTCTCAATTAACTTGGAAGTAATTGAGAAAATGAGTGTTCTTTCTCCTTCCATTTGCATGTCAATCCAATCCTCAATCGGTTGAGATTTCCCTTGTTTTAAATTTTGCCATTGAGAGTGAAATTATGACCTTCAGTTATTAGACTGCAATCTATGGTTCCTGATCATTGACTTGAAAATTTCCTGCATCTGCAGGAAAAAAACTATTTCATTTCTCCAAAAAGTTTGTATGTTACAAAGATAATTTTAAAAAGGCAAAGATGTTGCCCAAGAATTGTCTACCACTAATCATTTTCTCAAATGCAGGTATTGCTGCCTTGTAGGTGTAGGTTGTGGCCAGATGGACCTCCAACTGGTATGCCTGTTCCAGCCATATTGCTAAGAGGGTAGACTTGTGCAGCATACTCTAAATGAGGTCTTTGGGAAGATTGCTCTGAAGGCAGATGGCAAATGCCTGCATACTGGTACATGAAAGCATGTTATACAGCAGTGCTTAACAGTTTGTGAAATCTTTTGAATTTTCAATATTTCTTCATAAACATGTTATCCACATAAGACCTAAAATTAGATAAAGGGAACACAATTAAACTAATCTAGACCATTATATTTGTTCATATATTTTTTTAGGAAAATGATCCAAAGTTACACATTTGTGTGTGGCAAAGGTATTTGAATCTTTGCTTTCAGTGACTGATGTGCTTGTCAGGCCCCAACCAAAAATGGCACCTAGTGATTCTTCCAAGCTGAGTTCTTTATTGTTTCACTCCTATAGACAAAATCTTGCCAAACTGAAGACTCTAGTATCCTCAGTCGTATGACTTGATAATACAGCAATCCATAAAGCCCTAAAGGCTGTTTTTATCCTGTAGTTCCATTCTGATATTTCTGGTAATGTTTGTTATACTGAAGTATGTAACAAATTTGCACTAAACAAATAGATATTGCACCAAGCAGCATTTCATTCTGAAAAATTTCGTTCGCAACAAAGAAAATGTGCAGGCATATCGTTTTAAGTTCAACTTTGCCAAGGGTGATGGTCCTTGTACCAGATAGATGCCTCATGTTTACAGGAGACAAAGGGAGGTGCTGTTTAACTTTGCTGGAGTATAACAGGTTGGAAAAGCGGGTGGTGGTGGTGAATCACCTGTTGACAACTTGCAATTATATTTTTATGTTTTAAGCCATTTTGGAAGGATCAGTATCCTTCAAAAGTCATCAACAATAAGATGTAGTAAGTACAAGACCGCCTTTTCCACGAGGTTACTCTATACATAGAAGGCCCTTGCCAAAGGGGATTATTTGCCATCTACTCAGTTCAGAGTTGGCTACCTATCATTGCATATCACATTTAGTTATTGCTATTATTCTGTAGTGGCTTTCAGTATAAGAGCTGCTAAAGGAGCTCGCAAGCAATATAAATAAACAATAAATAAAGCCATTGTAAATGCGAGCTCAACTACTGAGACCCGCTCTCCATGAAGAACACGTTCCTCTTTCTCTTTCAATGTACACCAGCGCCCGTGCGCGCGCACGATATGCCTTGGCCACGCCCCACGAGACAACGATAGGCTGTGCTGGCTCCGGTCAAAACGCTTCTCCTGCGATTATTGGCCCTGGCTGACGTCTATCAGTCTCGTCTGTCAAAACCAGTCAGGCTCTGTCACAGGCGAGAAGAGTAAGAACGGCTGCACTTCCTGCTGGTTGGCGGGCTTCGCCTTGCTCGGAGCGTCTTCCTTGGCGCGTACTTGAGATGAGCGCGTCTCTCTCTTCCTCTCTTTGCCTACTTACCTACCTACCTACGTACCTATATATATAGCCTCTTTGTCTATCTATAGCTATCTCATATATATATGTATATATGTGTGTGTGTGTATATAATTATATATGAGATGCGCGTATTAATCTCAGACGGCAAGAAAGAGAGTCTCCGTTTGGATGGGCGTGTGAGGGGAATGGCTGTTGCTTTGTAATTCTCTGCAGCTGGAAAACTCCTTCATTGTCCAAGTTTAGCGCCTTCCTGCCCCTCCCCTGCCACTGCCGCTCTCATACAGCCGCGCATGGACACCTAGCCTTGGGGCTAACCGAGCCAGCCAGGGATTTTGAACCGCGCGACCCCAATGACTCTTCGGGAGAAACTTGGTGGGTCCGCTGCTCTGCAGTGAAAGAGATCTGACTCTCGGGGCTCTTCTCGCCGCTCCTTTTGTCGAAGTGGCCTCCGCCAAGTTGAGACGCCGCTTTGTGGAGCGGGACCCGCCATGGCCCAAGGCTCGGGGAGTCGAGAACCTCCGTCCGTGATTGCTCCCAAGGGCGAGGAAGACGCGGAGATGTCTTCGGAGCCCGGAGCCTTTGAGATGTCCGCGGCGTCTCTAGGGAAGAGAAGGGAACGGAGGAGCGGAGTCTTGCTAACCGGGGCCGCCACCGCCGAGCGCATTCCCAGCACCCTGGCAACAGACTCGGACCTCGGGCTTCTGGAAGCGGCCCGGGCGACCCCTCGGAGGAGCAGTATTATCAAGGTACATAAAGATGGCTTTGCCTTGCATTAGGTGCCGGGATCCGGGGACGCGCCCAGTGCTGCCTCGACCAGGGCAAAGGTAGCAGCTGGCCGATCCGGCAGCCAGGAGATGCCCGCTGGGCGCTTTCCTCCACCACAGTGGGAAACAGATCGGGTCGCGGAGCCCCGGAGGGTATCTTCGCCTTGGAAACAAGCACCAGGGGAATGAGGGCGGTGGGTGGGAAAGGAAGGAAGGAGCGACAAACGGCGAAGCTGAGGCTGCGTTGTTGTTCTGCGGGAGCGGTGCGGCTGCTCACCGAGAAGGTCACACTGGGAGTTTATTTCAAGCCAGGTGGGAGATTTGAGGAATGGACGTTGAAACGATGCCGGCTAGAAGCCTCTCAGGCGGCAGCAGCTGTTTTAAGTTTGCATTTGATAATCAGCACGCTTTGGGAGGTGCTGTGTAGAGGAAGGAGAATCAGCGGTAGTTTCATTTCGAAGAGAGGATGGGCGGATGGGGGGAAGGGAAGAGGAACTATCCTAGATGAACCTCTTCACCTCTTTTTTCTCCAATGGCTTCTGATAGAGAGATGAGCGTAGGCTCCGTTCACTTTGCTTCCAATAAAATTATATGGTTTTTTTTTTTTTTTAAAGGAATCTGCCCATGAAACAGAGTTCATATCCCTTTCAGTACTGCGGGTCTGTTTGATTTCCAGGATTTCCCAGTTACAACCAGCTTCTCCAAATAAATATCATTCAGATGTGTTGGATTTTAATTTCCAGCATTTCCAATGAACACCCATTGGTTGGAGGACTGGGCATTCTGGGCTTGCAATCCCACATGTCCGTCATCAGATTAATTGGGATGGTGGGGTGTTTTTTTGGGGGAAAATTTCTAGATCAGATCTTGAATGTAAGGTGATTGATCTCTAATTACGACAGTGTGTGTGTTAAATGGCTTTTTAAGTGCTTTGCATAATAACAGCTGGAAAAAGTAAATGGGTGAATGAGAGGAGAATTCTGTGGAGTAAAAGTTTTAAGTTTGCTTTAAGTTTATTATGGTTCTTGCCTGTATTTTTCTGTGGCATGTTGTGCTCTTTATTAGTGCTTTAAATATCTGGAGGATACTATAGGTCACATTAAGCTAGTCTGTCTAAGGAAACAACAATTACTCCAAATCCTGCATTCATCCATTTGTATGATGATGTCCTTTTATTATTGTCTTAAAATATTAAGAACATCTGGTGCACACATTGTGTTTATAACTTTCTTTAAAACCTTTTTTTTAACTTAAAAGTAGATTTAAGCTTAATTTATCATTACAGAATCAAGTAGACTGATATCAGAGTTGCTCTACCAGTAGTAGATACATCTATAATCATTACTGGTGTTGCAGAAAAACTAAATGATGACCAGTATGGGGATGATGAAGCACAAGAATCCTAGTTAAATATAGAGAACTATAATAGTTAAAAAAAACCAAAATAGATATACATGTGTGAAGGATTGTAGGTAATGAGGAGGCAGAAACAGGCAGCAGTAAAACCATTTGTGTCCGCTGCAATAACCTGGACATACATTCAAAATGCACCCATTTTTCATTAGTATTCCATTGCAATTAACCACCAACTCTTTAGTGAAATCAATTGCCTCACAAAATCTGTATCAGTTAAGATTAACGTGTTATTTTTAAAATTATGTATTAAAGGTTTTATTTATTGATTGAAGTATATTGAAATATTTGTTTCAGTAAAATCACTGGAGCAGTTATGTTGAGAGAAAATGACACCACTTAAAAAGGGGGAAATTGGCTGTTATAAATGCAGTTACAAATACAAAATCTTAAAAAAAACAATGTACAAGTTATTTTTAAGACCAGTTTAGAAATGCTGAGGAATTTCCTTTAATCATTTACAACAGAAGATTTTAAAAATAAACTTTTTAGAATATTGAATTCAGTTTTTTTATATCTATTCAATTTCTCTGCTATATAAAAATAGGGTGGTTGTTTCATAAGAGTTTTAGAAAGGTCTTTGTACGTTTTTGCTTTTTTTCTGAAAAATAATTTGAATCAAGGGATAGTGAATGAAATATTAGGGAGATTCTAAATGGTCAAAGTTGCAATCCTATGTACAGTAACTTGAAAGCAAGTGGTTAAAAGGCTATGGTGAATTTAGCATAGTAAGGATTTCACATGGTAAGGATTACCATGACGCCTGGTTCTAAAACACATTATTAATCAAACAGCTTGGAATAAAAATATCCTAAAAGTTTTCCTTGAAAACCAGTAATGATTGATGTGTTTCTAAAACAACTGAATTTAAATTGAGATAGACCAATACTGCCCTACCAGACAATGTAATAGCAGTTATTGATCAATCAAATATTGATCTTCCTGCTCTGTTCGACTCTCATATATGTAAGCAGTCCTTCAGATAGCATGGATCAAACCAATTTAGAAGTTAAAGACCAAACCTAGTCCCTTGAATTGAATGTAAATTCTGCAGCATAATCCAAATACTCAAAATACTCTGTACAGAATAGGTGCAATATAGTATAAAATAGCTTAACTCCTTAAGCAGTTTTGCTGCTACGTATTCTGTCACTGTATATACTTGCAGTTTTGAACCCTGTCTAAAGATAGCCGCTTTTACCCAGCATTATTATAAGGCAGAGTTCCTCAACCTTTTCGGCTTTGCGGACTGGCGGAGGTGAGGGAGAGGAGATGGTTCTTCATGAGTGTCAGGCACGTGTGAATGTGCAGCTCCATTTGCACGTGTGCCTGCCACTCATGCAAATGGAGCGCGCATATGTGTGCACATCCACTGTTTGCGTAAGTGGGGATGCACGCGCACACGTGCTCGCCTTCCACTTCCATGCCCTGGTTCCAAATAGCTAAGACCTGGAGATGGGCCACGGCCTGGGGCTGGGGACCTGTTGTAAGATGTGCAGAGTCTCTGTATCAGTGAGATGGATAGAGAAGAATAGGATGTTATGTGGCAGGAGAACCGACTACAGCACTGTCCAACAAACAGTGTTGCCTGAACACTAAGGCTAAAGTCTCGAGGAACAATATTATCAGGAAACTACACACAGGGAGCTCAACCATCTAGGTTGCGCACATCAGCTTCGGCCTTGAGTGTCTTTGCAGCAGAGTGTACTGCTCCAGTGTGGGGTGCATCTGCACAAGCGAAACAAGTTGATATCACCGTGAGTGAAACAGTAAGTGACAGGATGTCTCAAACCTACATGAATTAAGAAAATATATCCTATTGCTGGCACTGCCTCACCTAAGATCAGGAGAGAAGTAGCAGCGGATGCCAAGCAAACTAAGCAAAAGAATGATCTTCAACATCCTCTGAACAGACATAAGTTCGAAGCCCATAGCCTCAGATCTAGGAACAACTTTATGGCAAGAACAAATATTCTTAAGGGTATGCAAGAACAAAATCAAATTAAAAGATGGAGGAAAGAGACCATCGAGCAAGGAATAACATTAAAGGAGGATCTGGCTGAAGGATCTGACCTCACTTATATTACTTGGAGGACCCAGAATAGGTTGAGAATTGGAGTGCCAATATGCTGAAGTGGAGGCTCTTAGCAGATAATAATATGCTATGTGAATGTGGAGAGACGTAGAACCCGGCCCATCTGCTGGTATGTCAGCTACTATCAGAAACATGTACCGATAATGACTTATTTTGGCCAATGACAGTGCCAAGAAGGTGGCTTCATTCTGGCAATTTAAAATTTGATCTAGACATGGAAGGAGAAGTGAGATGACTGGCATAAAAATCTATCCAATACATAATATTAAAAAAAGACTTCTACATGATATTAGGAGTTGTTCCATCTATTATTCCATATGAGCTAAAAGATGCTGGTGAAACTAATGTTATAGATCAATGGTTCTCAACCTTTTTAATGCCGCGACCCCCAACCGGTCATAAGTCGAGGACTACTCAACCGGTCGTAAGTCAAGGACTACTCAACTGGTGCAGCACCGTTTGCAGAATGGGACTTTTTGCGGGCTCAGCAGGGCAGAGACAGCCTGGACAATTCCTATCGGCTTTTGAAAGCCAATAGAATTAGACTCTATTCAAGAGAGTCTATTCTATTGGCTTTCAAAAGCCAATAGAATAAAAGGGAGTAGCACAGCTAAGGAAAAGGGAAAAAAATGGCGGACTGCGTTGTTTGGCGACCCCCGTGAAATGGTCGTTCGACCCCAAATGGGGTCCTGACCCACAGGTTGAGAACCACTGTTATAGATGGAATGGTTATGGCTTCTGGATGCTGATTCATTTCCTACTTCAGTGCAATTTACATTCTTTCTTGGAACTAACCTAACACTTCGATGTGGGTTGAGATGGTGATATAGTCAAAGTTTAAACAAGTTGCTTAGTCCAGTTTAAATCTTTCTAATTAGTCCATTCTGATCCTCTTCTTCATGACTAACCAGTTCTGCATGGTTTCAGTAATATTTTTTTTCCAGTCTCAGAGCTTTTTAATTCTTCCAGTAAACCAACAATCTAGTACACTTTAAATCTGTTTTCTCTGATGCCACATATATTTTGAACCCCTTGCTTCAAACCACTTTTCTTTTCAATGTAGTTCCAAATAAAATTAAGATTTAGTTTGTATAATGCTTGCAAAACAATTAAGGCGTACAGCATTGAAAAGTAGAGATATTATCTTTTCCTCTCTTCTTGTGTCTATCTTCACAACATTCAAACCTCAAATTTGCTTGAAACAGTTCAGCACTATTAAATTTAAAGCATCTTATAGCTCTTTAAAAAAATAATACATTTAGCGTGACAGAAATGTTTGTGACTAGACATACTTGTAGTATTTTTTTAACCCAAGACAGTTTCCTGTTCTTTAGTTCGCCTTGATGTTATTTTCACATATTTGCAGAATTAAAAATAGGTTCCAGCTCTGAGGTTGTGTTCTGGGAATATAAGGCATGAGTTCTTTCTGGCTGCAAGTTTTTTAGAGAAAGAAAGAGAGGTTGTGCATTTCTGG